GCGCACAGAGAACACAAGGGATCCGTCCGTCCGCCCGTCCAGCGCCGCCCGCCCGCCCGTCTGTCCGTGATAAAGCGGGGTCTTATCTCGAGATGAGATGTGTCTATAAATCAGAGCCGGCGCCAGGTAGGCGTTGCGCCAGCGGGCTGCGAGCGAGGCGCTGCGTATGAGGAGCTTCGGCGTCACCGGCAGGGCACTGGGATCCCCTACATAGGGGAGATCCCACTCCTCATCCTGCCCCCTCCTCCTCCCGGGCGTGGCGTTTTCACGACTCTTCGCAACGACTATACTGGATCGTGACACCGCCCTGACCCCAAATCCCCATAGGCAACGTGGTCTTTGACACGTCGGTGGTGGCTGCTCCTGGGCTTATCGCTAACTACTCGCAAGATTGTAAGCGGCCCCGCAGGAACGCTTCAGGTGTGTGTTGGAGACAGCCAGACAGCCAGACAGCCAGACAGACAGACAGACAGACAGACGGACGGAGAGGCAGGCAGACGAACAGACAGAGGCGGCAGCGCACGCCCGCCGCTGCCCGGCCGCCCATAACCTTCAAACTTGGCGCGCGGGCGGCGCTCGCTTCGGGCCCGTTCGTCTCCTGTGCGTCGCGTGCCACGACGCGTGCATCAAATTGCCTGGGGACGCCAAGTTTAGCTTTGAAAGTTACCTAATACACTGGAAAATTGACGTGCGCTCCGCGGCGGTGGCGGCGGCGCGGGGCGGCTAGCGCTGACTCAGCCAGCCGGACCCCATACCGATAGTAGCGAGTGCGAGCGAGAGCGCTGCCCGGCGCTCGCCCCGCCGTGTGGATGCGAGCGAGATCGCTGCACTGGCTGCACAGCCCTCGGCCCCACCGTGAAAGAACGAGCAAGGGCGCTGCGCTCGGCCAGCGTTCTCCCCGCGAGGCGGCGGCAGCAGCGAGAGCGCCCAATGGGTAGGCAACGCGGCCGCACGCATACGGGGCGCGGTGCCTACCTCCGGGCGGCCGCCGCCTGAGCGGGCGAGCGGGATAGCAGGGAGGTCTCGGGGAGCACGGGGGGTTTTCATTGCCATTACGATCATGAGGGCTGAATTATGGAGTTTGACTTTTCAGAATCTTGTCAGAAATAAGGAATAATCGTCACAGGCAACACAGACTGGCCTGGCCGTTGTCTGGCCGGCAAAAATAAAAAAAAAAATCAGCGTGGCAGCGTGTCAATTGACTCACAGCAGTGCCGTGTAGAGCAGGTGCCCCCTCTCCTCCCGGCGAGCCCGACGACGGGGGGCATCCTGCATTTTCACGACTCGTCATATACCGCCATTTTCACTCATTACCATTAGTCCTGATCGTGGACCGAAAAAAAATTTCACCATCAAACCAATACCACGGCCAAAACAATTGCCGCATCCGGTAGAGCGACAGCAGCCTCCCCCCCTCCCCATCCCCCCTCCGTCCTAGGTTCGCGTGAAACCGGATGGGGAACTCGGCGGCTGCATGCCGGCCGACACTGGAAAGCGAAATTCGCCTCACTGTTTACGTATTTATGATTAGGCGTGTTGTTTCGCTCGCGCCTTTCTTGCAAATCTCGCGCATATATAGGTCTCCTTTTGCTGGGTGGGAGGTAAACCGCATTCGTAGCTGGTCCTGCCGGAGCTCGAGATGATGAGATGAAAGACACTGAGGGAGACGATAAGAACTATAGGACCCGGACCGGCTCCATACTGAACTCTGAACTGCCAGGACGGCCGGGCCAGCACGCTGCCCCCCGGCCCCCGCCAACGTCGGCCCGTTTCCCTCGCAGTGTACTTTATTGACAGATAATTTGACGACCACACACGAGCGGGATTTCCGTGAGAACGTCGCTGTGTTTTGCGCTGCCTAGCCCCGGCGGCGCGGCTCTCGCGGCGCGCGGCGGCGGCACTTGCGGGGCACGCGTCCTTCACCTCCACGACGGGCGCGTCCTCCTGGGAGGCCTTCAGGGCTCGGCCACGGGCTCGGCCACGGGCTCGGCCAGCTCGGCCACACGGGCTCGGCCACGGGCTCGGCCACGGGCTCGGCCACGGGCTCGGCCAGCTCGGCCACACGGGCTCGGCCACACGGGCTCGGCCACGGACTCTACCACGGACTCTGCCACAGGCTCGGCCACGAGCTCGGCCACGCACTGCTGGAGGGCGCGCGCGGAGCAGCGAGCAGAGCCCAGCCACAGCGCCGTCCCTCTATTGGTGACAATCACGGACAATCATTAAGACGGGGGCAGCGCCGAGCCACGCCACGCCAAGCTATGCCAGCCAGCTGTCGATGCACATGGCGGGCAGACGCGGGCCAATGCGTGTCACACGTATCACTACTTCCTTTTGGATGGAAAAAAATAATTGATACATGGAATAATAACTGGAAATATATTAGCAAGGCAGAGACGTTACTGGGCAGTGGACAGAGGTGGACAAGACTGACAAAACACAGGCAGACTGACTGACTGACTTACTGACTGACTGACTGACTGACTGACTGACCGACTGACAGCCTGACAGCCTGACAGACTGGCAGACTGACAGACTGACTGGCAGACTTACAGACAGACCGACTGACAGACTGACTGACTGACTGACTGACTGACTGACTGACTTACTGACTGACTTACTGACTGACTGACTGGCAGACAGACAGACAGACAGACAGACAGACAGACAGACAGACAGACAGACAGACAGACAGACAGACAGACAGACGGGCGGACGGACGGAAGGATGAACTGGACCGACGGGCATAACAGCGGCGCTCTTAAAGACAGTTATGGAGGCCATCTGCGACACCACTACTGAAGACTCCGTACTCATTAAGGGGGACACTTTTATCCAGAAGTCGCCTTTGAAAGACGTTGCGTCCTTCAGTTACTCCCGACTCCCGGATGATGCCAAAAATGAGGTCTA